TTATGACCTTCGATGTATGCCTCTCTCTGACCATAATATGTGAATGAGAGGTAATAGATGTGGCTCTCAGAGAGAATCAATATTTGTCTCTGAACGTTCAATACACTATGTCCACAGTACCGATTGTGGCTGACAATGTTGTTAATATGATTATAACAGTGGTCATCTTGGTAACACTTAGGATTGTGTGTAACACTTGTTCAAAATATATTGTTTATTGTGTTCCTAGGTGTATAACACAGGCATATCTACTCTGAATCAAACTATTAACCACAATAAATGTCTTCATCTGGCCATCATAGTGTATATAGTGTATATTATAGTGTATCTTTCACATTGTGGTTCTACCTGCGGACCACAAAATTTCCCCATCGTGACACTCACATTAACTAAGCTCCTAGCACACAAAGTTACTCTCATAATGTCTCTTATTGGTTTTTGTTTCATAATTTGACAGTCAATGTGTTTCTCAAAGTGAAGCTCAATGTTTATCGCAGTGCGGCACACACTGTACCTTTCAACATGTTGCTAAGTCTAGTTTTTTCCCTCTCACAGTAGCAATTGTTGATGGGGGTGGTGGATTGACGAACATTTCAACGACTGAGGGCAGTATTGCATTAGCTAACTAAATACGTAACAGATGTAGAATTCCGTGTTAAAATAGTTTACAGGTGTGATCCTGATAGAAGTAAACACGGAAACAATAATGAAATACAAAACTGAGTACGAAGAAAGCCTATGTCGATACAGCACTCAAATTTATCCGTGATTGGATTATTCACTAGTGTGATGGTGCTGTTTCGGGTTCTATGTTGAACCCTTCATCAGTCGGAACAGTACTTGACCGAATCGTTCGATTAAATTAGCTTTCAGAATGTTCGACGTTATTACTTTCATTATACAATTTAGTTAAAATGTTAAGTAATTCTTCGTCGTTTGGTGTGTCATTTTTCATGAGTTTGTCAGTACGTAGACTAGAACTTGTGAGTTTATCTTTCAAGTTAATATTTCTACGAAATGCAATAAGGGGGGGATTTGGAAAAATGTTACACAGTAACAAATCATTCCGAATTAAATCCCAGTTTTTTAATAGGGCTCTTTTGAGCCTGTACCCTTGTATATATGGGTTGAACGTAGTTGTGAATATTGTTTGCCCTTCATTATAGGGCATTGATTCTCGTAAATGTGAGATACGATTGTCATGTTCGTTAATTGAAGAGTATCTTTCGATATCGTTATTTGTGTAATCTCTTACACGCAATTTTTCAATAAATAAATTACGTTTATGTAAGAAATCGTTTGCATTATTACATGTACGAGCATATCGAATAGTTTCGCCTTTAATAAAACCTTTGAATACTGATGTAGGGTGACAGGAATTACGTTTCAAATATTGAAACGTTTCCGTTGTCTTGGTGTGCGTTTTCACGTCTAGTATATTCAGATCAAGGAAGCGTTGTCCTTTATATAGGTCAAGGTCAAGGTACGTGACTTGTGTCATTGAGTATTCAAATGTGAGCTGGTATTTATCATGAAGCATATTAGCATCCTGAATAAATTTGTGTAATTCAGGTATGGTACCATTGAATACCATGAAAATGTCATCTCGAAAACGATACCATGTTTTGATATAACGAGCACCAGATAGTAAAATCTGATTTTCCAGTAGGTGGAATGTAATGTCGGCAATCTCAGGTGAAGACGGTGATCCCATGCTAACTCCACATGTTTGGGTATAATACTCATTATTAAACTCGAATGTATTTCTTTTCAGAATGATTTCAAGGAGTTTAATTATATATTCCCCAGGTAGTGGTTTCAAAGGACTGTCACTGTGATTGTAATTCGATTGCATTGCATTAGCGGTTGCTCGGATCGCTTCTTCGTGAACAGTATTAGTATACATTGATACGACATCCAAGGTTACTAGGACGTTATTATCAGATACTTGTATATTTTCGATTTTATTAATAAAATCTGTAGTATCTTTGATATAAGTATGTTGTCTTTTGACGATTGGAATTAAAAAGTGGTCAATCAATTCTGATATTTTCTCTGTGGGACCAGAGCAACCACTGATTATCGGTCTACCAACAAATATACTGCCCTCTGGTGGTGGTTTGTGTACTTTAGGCAATAAATACCACCGGGGCGTTCTAACTGTGTAGTTAAATGGGTCTGTATATTTATACGTGTCGTAATCGATTAAATCCAGATTGTACATTTCTGTAACGAGCTCATGGACCGAATTAGACGTGACTATAGTATCGTTACCACCAATTTTAGTGTAGTATTGTTCGTTGTTTAATTGACGAAGGCTTTCATATATATAGTCAGTTGTATTCATGATTGCAATACCATGACCTTTGTCGAATGGTTTTATTACAATTGTGTTATCATGATGTAATCTATTTATTGCTGCTCTTTCGGCAGAATTCATGTTTTGTTTGGGTTTATTGGTAGTGATTTTGGATATCTCAACTTTGGTTGCCTTAATGTAATTTTCGAGGCTACTGTTATTCGAGTCTGGTGGGTTCCATGTTGATTTCATTTTGAAAGGATGTTGTTGAGATTGTTTATTGCGCATTAAATATTTAATACGCATTCTCCTAGATAGCATAGACATGTCATTGAGCAGAGTGTGATAGGTTGGCTTAGTGGGGTTGGTATAAAGTCTGTTGCCAAGGGCAATGATCTCTATTGGGGTCAGGATTCTACTCGAAAAATTCCGAATAAAACCTGAGACCAACCGAGCTTGATCAACCAACCGTTTATTTTTAGCCATTTTAGCATTGTATTTCTTTATTCGTTTGCATCTTGCAATGTGTTTCTACGTGAGAATTGTCTATTGCATTTGTGTATGATTGTATGGACAGAATCCATAGTAATAACGGTAGTTCTCTTTTTGGAGGATGTGGTGGCCCTAAAAAGGGCCGTTTGGTTTGTGTGCGGAAGCACTAATTTATTCGAGGTTAGGAGTACGTTTCCTGCCCTTTCGGGGGTCCTGTACTCTTTTCCTCGTTTGTTTGAGGAATTGCCTCAGTTTATTGACCGCCAGAGCCTGATACTCGTCTCCAGCCAAGCGTTTGATGTGATCAAACGCTTCCTTCTCTTCCTTCACCAGAACGGCCTGAAATTGCTTCAAATGCGAAGGTAAATAAATATCAAGCAATTTGGTATATTGTTTCGAAGCCTGGGTTGAAATGAGTTCCCACTTTTGTAGGAATGCCGTAGACGGCTTCAACCCAGGTATTACGGTTTTCTTTGAAACCACCAAACCTTTGGGAATTTTTCCCGATATCGAAAATTTATGAATAGATTTAATTTGATTAACAATTGAAGACTCAGTCCGGTAAAGTTTAGATAAAGATTTAACCTTACCCTTGATTTCAGAGAAGAGAGCGTCTGGTAAACGTCTCTGAGCTGGAGTCGGTAGAGAGTCTAAAGGTTGGATGTCAATCGTCAGGTCTAGCATAGGTGTATCAAACACAACATCGAAATCTTCGACAGTGTTGATGTCTTCTGCTGCAGACATGACGGGAATGAATAATGATGTTCCTGACGGTCTCATTTATGGGATCGGCTGGCAGAACAAAATATTGCTACTATGTAATGTGATAGTCGTGATCTTATTGGTCAATAAAAAGGCATCAATATTTCATAACGATAATAAAAATGGCTGGGATTGTGCTAGTTGAAAGTAGGTAAAACAACGAAAAGAGGAAAAAGATGCGTTAAAAATGAGAAAGGAGTAAACAAAATAAGTCCGAGATGTATAGTGAAGAAAGGACATAGTTTAAAAAGCGGAAAAGAACAACAAATAGAAGTTAATAAAAGAGAAAGAACGAGAAAAATGAGAATATAAGAAAAAAACAAAATGTGCTAGTAAGACGTTCAAAAAACGATCGTATTAAAAATATGAATTACGAAAACGTAATAAAAAGGGTCTAGACGGTATTGTAACTAAAGTAAGTTACTAAATTAGAAATCTCGCCGTGTTTACATAAATAGCATTAAAGTAACGATCGAAAATATACGAAAAATATCGAGGCTATCGCGGATCTCAAATTCGTGCTAGTGGCAACAACGGGCGGAGCTAAGACGCGAGTACGAAACGTGAATCTGATTGGTCGATACAAACTCATCGATTGTCCTGTCATCCAGGCGAGTGGATGGCGTAGTCGGTTCAGATTGTGCTAGTTGGACGTTCGTTTAACGGCTGTATTAATAAAATAAATAGCGAAAACGCAACGATATGAGTGTAGATGGTGTTGTGACTAATGTAATTTACTATATTAGAAAAATCGCCGTGTACATATAAATAACGATGAAGTAACGATCGAATATATACGAAAAATATCGAGGCTATCGCGGATCTCAAATCTGTGCTAGTTGCAGTAACGAGCGAAGCGTAGACGCGAGTACGATACGTGAATCTGATTGGTCAATAAAAGCGCATCGGTTAGACCTGTTATCCAGGCGAGTGAATGGCGTAGTCGATTCAGATTGTGCTAGTTAGATGTTCGTTTAACGGCTGTATTAATTAAAAAGATTGCGAAAACGCAACGATATGAGTGTAGATGGTGTAGTGACTAATGTAAGTCACTATATTAAAAACCTCGCCGTGTTCACATAAATAACGATGAAGTTAAGAACGAATATATACGAAAAAAATCGAGGCTAATGCGGATCTCAGATCTGTGCTAGTTACAGCAACGAACGGAGCTAGGACGCGAGTACGATACGTGAATCTGATTGGTCAATACAAGTGCATCGATTATCCTGTCATCCAGGCAAATGGATGGCGTAGATGGTTCAGATTGTGCTAGTTGGACGTACGTTTAACGGCTATATAAATTAAATAGATTGCGAAAACGCACCGATATGCGTGTAAATGGTGTCGTGACTAATGAAAGTTACTATATTAGAAATCTCGCCGTGTTCACAAAAGTAACGAAGAAGTTACGATCGAAGATACACGAAAAATATCAGAGCTAACGCGGATCTAGATTGTGCTAGTTGTAGCAGTGGGCGTGTCCTCGCTAAAGAGAAAGGAAGTAGGTACAGACAGGTCCGTTGATTAATATATTATAGCATAACTCTCATAGAGGATCATATGAAAAGTCGCATATTGTACGTATTGCGTAGGATAACAAACTAGTAGTGATATAGTGGTTCACCATAATATAGTTTCACTTATAAATGAAATAATAAAGTAATTAACTATATGCAATAAACCCTTAAGTTAAATTAGGGTTAGGGTAGGGTTAGGTAGGTATAAGGTATGTTAAACGAGGGCAAGGCTTATGGCTGCCCGTTGTTAAATAAACACTACCATATAATATTATAATTGTACCTAATATAGGTGCGATGAAACATGTTAGACATGTAATATATTCTGAAAGCTGAGTAAGAACTAAGGAGAGAATAAAAATAATAATGCAATGTGCATAAATATTTACATTAGTGTTCTCTCAATGGTTAAAATAGGGTTCAATATACTATACGACATAGAATAAGGTGAATAAACCTTAATAAACTAACTTCGGCATGTTATTTCAACATGATAGAATAAGACATAGTGTTAAGTATTGGAAGTTGTATTAATTAAATACACTTCAATATTCTGTCTACGTAAAAGTCTATAATCCCACAGTCTGATGAAATGGATACTGCGAGAGTATACGAACGTTATATCCACCTCGCTCCGGACCGCAATACTGACAGACATCCAGAGCGCAAAAACAAATATTGATGGGGGTGGTGGATTGACGAACATTTCAACGACTGAGGGCAGTATTGCATTAGCTAACTAAATACGTAACAGATGTAGAATTCCGTGTTAAAATATTTTTCAGGTGTGATCCTGATAGAAGTAAACACGGAAACAATAATGGAATACAAAACTGAGTACGAAGAAAGCCTATGTCGATATAGCACTCAAATTTATCCGTAATTGGATTATTCACTAGTGTGATGGTGCTGTTTCGGGTTCTATGTTGAACCCTTCATCAGTCGGAACAGTACTTGACCGAATCGTTCGATTAAATTAGCTTTCAGAATGTTCGACGTTATTACTTTCATTATACAATTTAGTTAAAATGGAAAGTAATTCTTCGTCGTTTGGTGTGTCATTTTTCACGAGTTTGTCAGTACGTAGAATAGAACTTGTGAGTTTATCTTTCAAGTTGATATTTCTACGAAATGCAATAAGGGGGGGGGGGATTTGGAAAAATGTTACACAGTAACAAATCATTCCGAATTAAATCCCATTTTTTTAATAGGGCTCTTTTGAGCCTGTACCCTTGTATATATGGGTTGAACGTAGTTGTGAATATTGTTTGCCCTTCATTATAGGGCATTGATTCTCGTAAATGTGAGATACGATTGTCATGTTCATTAATTGAAGAGTATCTTTCGATATCGTTATTTGTGTAATCTCTTTCACGCAATTTTTCAATAAATAAATTACGTTTATGTAAGAAATCGTTTGCATTATTACATGTACGAGCATATCGAATAGTTTCGCCTTTAATAAAACCTTTGAATACTGATGTAGGGTGACAGGAATTACGTTTCAAATATTGAAACGTTTCCGTTGTCTTGGTGTGCGTTTTCACGTCTAGTATATTCAGATCAAGGAAGCGTTGTTCTTTATATAGGTCAAGGTCAAGGTACGTGACTTGTGTCATTGAGTATTCAAATGTGAGCTGGTATTTATCATGAAGCATATTAGCATCCTGAATAAATTTGTGTAATTCAGGTATGGTACCATTGAATACCATGAAAATGTCATCTCGAAAACGATACCATGTTTTGATATAACGAGCACCAAACAGTAAAATCTGATTTTCCAGTAGGTGGAATGTAATGTCGGCAATTTCAGGTGAAGACGGTGATCCCATGCTAACTCCACATGTTTGGGTATAATACTCATTATTAAACTCGAATGTATTTCTTTTCAGAATGATTTCAAGGAGTTTAATTATATATTCCCCAGGTAGTGGTTTCAAAGGACTGTCACTGTGATTGTAATTCGATTGCATTGCATTAGCGGTTGCTCGGATCGCTTCTTCGTGAACAGTATTAGTATACATTGATACGACATCCAAGGTTACTAGGACGTTATTATCAGATACTTGTATATTTTCGATTTTATTAATAAAATCTGTAGTATCTTTAATATAAGTATGTTTGTCTTTTGACGATTGGAATTAAAAAGTGGTCCAATCAATTCTGATTTTTTTCTTCTGTGGGACCAGAGCAACCACTGATTATCGGTCTACCAACAAATATACTGCCCTCTGGTGGTGGTTTGTGTACTTTAGGCAATAAATACCACCGGGGCGTTCTAACTGTGTAGTTAAATGGGTCTGTATATTTATACGTGTCGTAATCGATTAAATCCAGATTGTACATTTCTGTAACGAGTTCATGGACCGAATTAGACGTGACTATAGTATCGTTACCACCAATTTTAGTGTAGTATTGTTCGTTGTTTAATTGACGAAGGCTTTCATATATATAGTCAGTTGTATTCATGATTGCAAT